GGCGCAACAATGGATTATTTAAATTTTAAAAGCCCCTCGAAGCGCGTCGGCTTAATTCTGCCGGTCCTTCGCCGTGCGTCGTCTGTTTCTCCGGCCGGCGAAAACGCGGGAAAGCGGCAGGAAGACAGAGGGTGAAGTAGAGACGGAGGAGGAGAGACAGAGAGAGAGAGAGAGAGAGAGAGAGAGAGAGAGAGAGAAAGTTATATATATGTACGTGCGTTATCAACGCACACGTGTTGATCATCGATTGAGCAGCGTCGAGCGGAGGTGAGTTTATTTCTCAAGGAATGGTCTTAGGACTCTCTCTCTCTCTCTCTCTCTCTCTCTCTCTCTCTCTCTCTCGCAAGCGTAACAATGAATCGTCGTCGAAGATGTAGATGTATCAATTTCATCAGGCGGAGAGACGCGCGCGTCTGCCTAAATTTCGCTGCAATGTCCAGCACGTCCGTTTTACTTATTCGAGCGGACGGAATTCCTGATGCATTTTCAGAGCCGAAAGCTGCCTCGAAAACGGAAAAACCATGCCGATACGGAGACGCACGACGGAGAGAAGACACGCGTTTCGGTTTTTGTAATCTCTATTTTCTCGTGAGAGTTCTGTCAGTTCCTCCGAGCAGCGATCTCGCGTCTGTTAACGACGAGCAAACCAATAAATTGCACATTCATTGGACACATATACACTCTCTCTCTCTCTTTCTCTCGTAACGCGACGCCTGTCGAATGAGACAGACGAGGCGCAGAAATAATACACGTATCGCGACTCGCGGGCCCGTCAAACGTATTCGCGAGCGTGAAATCTGTATTCGTCGCCGAATCGATCTCATCTTTCCGTATAATTGCCAATATAACCAGCGGCGAAGAGACGCTCGCTTCGCGCACGCGTGTGTGTGTGCATATGCGTTGCAAATAATCGGCACCCGTGCACCTACACACTAGCCCACTCACGCGCACACATACACACGCGGCTGCGAGAGACACGCGACAGACACACACACACACACACACACACACATGCGCGCGCGCGCGAGGGATACATAGCAAGTTGGAAGCAGGTTGACAGATTGACGTTCGGTCGCGCCTCGTTCAAGCCAGCGCCGATGAATATTTCAGGTGCCCGGCTTCACCTGTCAGCCCGCGGGATGCCGCGCGGCGGAAAGAGCGAGAAAGAGATGCCGCCGGCTTCTATATATAGAGGAGGGGGGGGGCAGGCGGCGGGATGGGGGAGACGAGCCGTGCCCTGGCGAACTTTCGACCCGAAATGACCCGAGAGTGAAGATGCAGACTTCTCCGCGCCGTTTGGATCGCCACCTTTTCTCCTTCTCCGTTTTCCGCGCCGTTTTGCCATCGCTTTGCGACGCGGCCGACGACGACGACGACGATCAGTCTAATTCCAGGATACCGATCGATCGCCCTTATGAATATCAGAAGATATCACGGATTTATTCGCACGTGGCCCACTTTGCTCCCGCCCACCTCTCTCCTCGCTCATCTCCGAGAAACACTAGAGGAACACCGCCGCCGTGTCGAAGAAACGAAGACGAAGAGACTCCCGCCGATTCTCCGGTGGATTGCCTCGCGTGGAAATGTCAAACGGTTCGCCTCGCGCGACGATTAACGGCGAGCTTCACTTTACGTTTAGAATCAAGTAACCGCGCAACCGTCGCGCGTCGCGTCGCCGGCTTTGTCTCGCGATGCGACACGGAAATTTATCGAGATCGGCGAGATCGCTATTCGCGCTATTCGCGTCAATCTGCGTGCGAAAACCTGCGTGGGAAAACCCCCGTCCGTGTCTCCTCGCGCTCGCGCCACCTTGAAGATAAAGTGGCTCGTATTCTGCGCGGGTAAATCTGCCCGTGTCCCTGAATATTAATTCATCGCCTTCGCGTGATCGATGTAAGGTTTTTATTATTAAATCAGCCGGCGATTCGAGCGCAAAATCGGCCCGAGCGCTTCGCCGAGATCGTTACCTCTCTTTCTCTCTCCCTCTCTCTGTCTCTGCCTCTGTCGAGCATATAACCATATTAGATATAATTATTCGAAGACGCTGTACGTCGGACTGATGCGAATTAGCATGCAAGATGAATGATATTTCGCGGATGACTCGTACGCGGCCAACGCGACGCGACGCGACGGAACGCGGTTTCAGCGAATCGAATCCGTTATGCTCATTAGGCGAGAGCGTGTTTTAGCGACATTAAATTAAACGCGACAATCCCGGCGGTCTTGTACGGCGTTCAGAAGTCAACGTTCTATAATTCCGTTCGTTTTTTTTTTCCCCTCGCTCGCGAGTCTGAAATTATATTACCAAGATTCTACATAGAGCAGGTTTCAGCGTAGATCATATTTTTAGCACATTAAATATGCCAGCGTAGTCGCTACCGGTGATCAAACTGTGAGAGCACCTTGCGCCTTATGTTAAGGTTGCGGAGGATCAAATGCGAAATTAGACTCGCACGGCCAAGAAGGAGCCGACGAAACGAGGTGAGAGAGATACGTGTGTCTAGGATTACATTGATTTACCGTATCCTCGCGGTATTTCAATTATTAATTAAGCTGCCGCGCGCGATCGATAGAAATGAACGTGGCGGTCAGCCTGTTAAGCGAGACGTGAAATATGATAGGTTCGCAACGAGAGAAGTACACGAGAGCAAGCTCAAGGTGGAAGCAACACGAAGGAGCGCGATGAGGCAAAAGCGAGAGGAGCTGCCGCGAATCGGCGGGCTAGATTGATTGTTGCGGCGCGCGCGCGCGAGTTGTTTCGCGGAGAGATCCTCGCGGGTCTGTCTGCGTTTGACATTTGGTACCTTACGACGATCGGCTGAAATATGAGCCTTCACGTCGTGAACGCCCGGCGAGCCAGCCGGCCGGCTCGAAGTAGAGGAACTGGATTTCCAGTCATAGACGTGTGCGCGCACAAAGTTGAAATTGGCACTTACGATGGACGCCCATTGCGCTTTCGCTGAATATTCATGCGGCACACGCTAAAAGGTTATTGAACCGCTCAGGTCTGAACGCTGAATGAACGGTGCTGCACAAGAGGGAGGGAAGAAGGGTGAGAAAAAGAGATGGGTGGACAGACGGAGATGGATTCATTTGATGTAATTCTTGATGTAAAGGCTCCGAGAGAGAAAAACAGCCGAGGAAGCTGCAGCGAGGAGAAAGCCAAGTAGAAAAATTAATAGGGCTCTGGTAAGGGCCTGATTATTTTTCCCTAACATTAATCGGGCCCTAATAGGGATAGAAAGACAAGGGCCCCACAGGATGTGTAAGAAATAGTTTAACGGGTATTATAAGGGCTTTGTAAGGAAATATTTTTATTATTGCTTGAGTAAAAATATTCGTTCTTTTTGTTCCAAGAAATTTAGACTGTAATTTCTTAAGTTCTTCGTAACCTTGTTAGTATACAGCAATTTTTTTTTTTAAATACAGCATACTTTACGATAAAATAACTTTACAATAAAATAAAATATAGTATTCTTTAGACATAAAAATCCTGCTATTGTTTCTGTTAAAGTTTGCTGCATCTCCGAACGAAGGCAATACAAGAAAAATTCTTGGAATTCCGTCGTCCGCAAGCCAAAAAAGAAATAGGAGGAGCGAGGGAGAGGCTGTGAGGGTTGAGAGGACAAAAAGCGAGCAAATCGCGCATCCTGGGATCATCCGGCTGTAAATAATAGAAGCGTCTTCGATATCAAGGACGCGCAGAAGGGACCTCGCTGTTCGAATGCAAATTTTTCGCGAACGCGATACCGCACGCGGTCTTAATTTAACACGGTGCCATTATTGATAATTGTACCCGCGAATTTCGGGGATTATCGACCGCCCGCAAAAGTAACGTCGCTTCGGTGGCGAGTCCCGATTGGAACATCCTCGTTATAGCGCAGCGCCGACGTTCATCTATTAACGGACGTAAAACCACGAAAATGTGTCTCGCCGGACGCGAACAATTCGCATAATTCAGCATTATTTTCACAAGGAAAGAGAGGGAGAATTAATCCTGTGTCTCGACTCCGTGATAAACATTCGATCCAACATGTCCGTCCTCCGTCGATTATTAATCGCCGAATTATGCTCACGCATAATACAACGGTCTCACGTCACATTTGCACTTTGGCGAGTATGCCAATACTTCTCTCTCTCTCTCTCTCTCTCTCTCTCTCTCGCTGTCAGCCTAAATGTCACAAAATAGCATTGATTTCATTGTCCGTCGTCCTGGTCGTCCTGGCCATCCTGGCCGTTCGGTGGCGGCGGCGGCGGTCGCGCGAGTGCGCGCTGGTGTAATTCTCGTTAATTAATGAAATAGATTAAAACACGGGAAAGCGCTCTCGACGGACGCGATGGACGCGGTTACGTTAGTTGACAGCGCGAAAAGGTATAACGTCGCCGCCATGCATATCCGATAGGTCCATTTATAACGTCTGACCGGCGCGTCGCGCGTCGAACGTTCCGTGCGCGCGCTCCGAAAATACTTATACAGCGATGTGCAATACAGCGACGGGGCCATTTCCCGGGATTCCCGCCCGCGCGCTGATTATTTACAAATCCTGCCTGCCGTCATGACCATTTAATTCCACTTATCGAAGGATCCGTTACGCGTCGTCCGCGTCTGAACGCGTCGTGAATCGTTTCCACGCTTATTTTAACGTCGGCCGGCGGCGGCCTTTCGGCCATTGACTCACATCTCATATCATACTTTTCCGGCGGGCGAAAACCGCGCGACTATCTCGACATCCCTCTTTCTCCCTCTTCGCCTGTCCTTCTGTCCTCTCCGAACTCTCCGGACTTTGTTTTCCCGGCGATTTACGCGAGAATCGCTCGGCAATCTCAACGCCGCGCGTTCCTCCTTCGCGCCTTCGCTCGTTCGACAACCAATCGAATGCGCGACGATACACGCGAGATACTTCGATGGGAATAACGCTCACTTCAGCCCGTAGAAAGCGCTCGCGCACGCTTCCGTCGTTCTTTTCCTTCTCCGCTTCATCGTCGTCTCTCTCTCTCTCTCCCCAGGTGAGGCACTTGTCCGCACGACCGGGAACGAACGCGAACTCTTGGGTGATTTTCAGTGGGAGAGAAGTCGAGTTGATATAAATGCTGGAATTGTTATGCGAGAAAGAACCGGTGCATGTCCGGTTCCCCTTCGAATGTATCGATGATGCGCGAGCGATCGGCTCTCGAATCGAGATCGCCGGTCATGCGCGATATTGCGCGTGCAAGTCGTGCGTGCGAGGCAAGGTGATTCGCCGGTAAATCGGTTATTGTTACTTTGAGGACGGCGGAGACTAGTTGTGAGCTCACGATGGACAGGATAAAGCTTTTGTTTGATGAGTCCTTAAGCAAGGATGACGCATTCATGATCTGCGCGACCGTGGACACAGGTAATGTCATTGAAATGAAATCGGAGAAAGTGTGAGGTCTGTATGGGATGTCGGGTTCCCTCGGGAACATAACCTAAAGTATAAGGTAGTAAATAAGTTTGATTTGTAGGTTTCGAGTGGCAGGCGATTGACGAACACAGGGAGAAGGTTAGCAATACTTCGGAACCGGTCAAGGAACGCGGGAAAATCTACTTTAACTTACAATGGGACCAATATGAGAAAGTACGCTTCTTTGTGCCAAGTATTTCTATTTTTTTTTTTCGCAATATTTCATACTTGAGAGATGGTTGCACTTAGAAGCTGCTGTTTTACAATATATCTATATATATATATATGTTGTGTAGGTTCAGGAAATGAGATCAATAGACAATATACTCATAGTAGCCGATGTACGGACTTTCACTTTTCATGATACCGACAAAGAAGCCGACAAAGAAGCCAATTTGGAATTGTTCAAGGATGCGGTACAAAAGCATATGAATCTGAATAAAGCTCTGGATATGTGGAAGCGTGTGGCATGTTTTATGGGAGAGATATATCCTACATTGGAGGAATATAATTCTGCCAAGGAGCAAGCTGCTGTTACCACAGTAACAGAACCAGTAACAGAAGCAGAACCAGAGACCACTAAGGGTAGAAAAAGAGGCGTGGATCCCTCAGAGTCTAAGGAAGGCGATATACTTAAATTCAGAGTGACATGCGAAAGGTCTGGTAATCACACATTTGAGTCCACTGATGTAGCCTGTGTTGTCGGAGGGGAATTGCAGACTAAGTATCACTGGATAGTGGATTTATCCAAGTATCACTTGGAAGTTATCTGCAAATTGATTGAACGTACGATGATAATATTAATTATGTGATTAGACTAGAGAATTGATACGTATGAGTCTTAATTTTAGAGTGGATGACCCATGCATCAATATACCAGACTGCCCTGACAAAACTATTTTCACACTTTTTAGAACAACTGATAACACTTTTGCGCGTGACGCACGAGTCCAAACATCGCAGGAATATCGTGAGCTTTGGTCCGACCACTCTCAGATCAACTATATGTTACAATTTGCTAAGATTGGCAAATCCTAAACCAGGAGATATAGTAATTGATCCTATGTGTGGTAGTGGATCTATTCCTATAGAGGTATGCGCATTTGCGATAATAAATTAGTCGTTCTTGAATGCTAATTTTAAATGCAAATTTCAGGCAGCATTAGCTTTCTCTCATTTATGCATTCTATGCGGCGATAAAAATTCCAAAGCTGTGGAGAGAACAAAGTCTAATATAGATGGTTCAGAAACTGCAGCCAGAATAAATCCCGTGCAATGGCTGGCTTTAAATCTGCCACTCAAAGATTCGTTTGTTGACGTTATTGTTACTGATATGGTATACATCTTTTTTTCTTTCAAATTTCATGTTAGATACTTGGTCACGTTTAAATATTTTCGTTTTCTCTAAACAAAGTTATTTACTTACTGTAGCCTTTTGGCAAGAGAAGTGGAAAGAAGTCAAATAACGAACGTCTTTACAAACAATTTTTGCTGGAACTCGGCCGAGTAGTAAAATTACGGTCTGGACGATTGGTCCTACTTACTCATGACAGAAGAAGTTTCAATTACGTAAGTTATTGACCATTCCGGATTAATTTACCCCAATGAAGTGAAATATAATTCAGATCATTCATATAAATTTTTATTTCACGGTTACAGTGAATTTTATTTAAATTTTATTAAAAATATCTTGTTTCATTACAATTTTGACGTGAATTCTATTTTATTTCAGGCCTTCAGGGCAGCGGGTGATTTGTTCCAGTTAATGAGAGCAGTTAATGTGAAGATAGGAGGTCTTCAAGTTATAGCTTATGTTTTGAAACGAACAAATGTGCCCCTCACATCCTTTAAACCACGATATTATTAATGGACAGAACTTTTAAAATGAATAGACCAATGAGGTATCTTTTGTTTTCACAAGTGTTATGAAATATATATATATACATATATATATATATATATATTGATATAACATATTTTTGTATAAGAGTTAATATAGTTTATTTGTATATTTATACAACATAATTGTATGATTGATTCCTTTCCTGACCACTTGACCTCATCTGATCTGACTGAAACAGTATCATATCTTGTAGGATATAAGTAACAATACAGAGAAATTATAAGAAAATCTTTCTTCTGCTAGTCTCCATATCATGTCTCTGGCCTTGTATAATCCATTCATAATCACCATATTTACTGTCAAATGTTCCATGTTGCAGTGATTTTAATCTCAGAATAAATCGTGGACCCAATTCAGGCGATCTTGGTTTTCCATTTTTTAAATTAAACTCATACCTATACAGTCGTCAGCATAAGATTAAAATATGAGTTTATTTTAATATGAGAAATCTTAAAGGTAAAAAATAAATAATTCATGTGTTACCTATGATGTTTGAAAAATATATAATCTCTCTGATTGTGAAATGTTACAACTCTTCTTCCTTTGAATTGTGATTGATAGTGAAATAATACACCAAGCATTCTGGCAACAGTGAAACCTAGACGTGTAGTGGAATTATTTAGAATAACTTCTGGCCTATGTTCTGTGATTTCCTTGTGACTACGCTTCAATTCTGTTGTGATCTTAACATTACTGAGCTTGAAGTGTGCAGTAGGACCATCCGGAAGATGTATCACCAACATTCCATCTAATAATTGTATAAGAAAACACGTTTACTCTAAGTAATACTTTAAGTAATATATATGAGATATATATATATATATATATTGTTGTTATATAAAATATATTTGAATTATTTAATTTGATTTGTACATGAAAAGAAGATGCTCTCTTTCTCTCTAGTTAGTTTTGCATTGATCCACGTTGACGATTATTATGTCTGTAAAATTCTTGGTGATGGCACACCTCACAATTTTCTTCACGCCGGAACGATTTCTGTATTACGAGATCGAGTTCGGTATCATCCTTGTGAGCTCTCTGCCGAAAATTCGTGTTTTCCTGTTCGGATTATCGGCGTAGTGATAAGAACTTTAGGTTCGTAGTTCTGCCGGTAATACGCAGCGAATTCGTCATTTTGACACTCGACTTCGAGCCTCCAAGTTGTCGGTCGCCTCGCGTCGGCGCCGCTGCCCCGCGGCCTCACTAGCTTTGCTACCAGCCGCGGGGCAGCGTCGCCGTCGCTCGGCTCGGTCGGGTCAAGTAGCGAGGCGAGTAGCTTTTGCTGGACCTATACTACATTTCTGCCAAAGCTCGTCAAAATCAGCGATCCCAAGTTTGGCCAGCAGCCCTTGTCAGATTATAGCCCAGAAAAAAGTTAGCCTCGCTCGCGTCGCTGAGCGAGAACGAGAGCGAGATAAAACTCGCCGAGTGCAGCAAAACTCGGCGCTCGATCGTTTCAAAGGGAGCCTGGGGATTTAGCAAATCGCGGTCACGGCGATTAAATCGCAAATGCGAGCAGTCGACATTCGAGATCTCGCCGCGAGAACGCAAGGAACGACAAGTGTCGACGATGTAACGTGCGCGACGTGAGTCGCGCGAGTCCTTTAGTTTAATTACGTCCTAATTGCGTTACATTAATATTAATTACGAGCAGGAAAACGCCTACGTTTACGGCATTGACGTGGTTCTGTGCGCGAGCGACGAGTATGCGCCGCATTCGTTATTTCATCTACAAACACGTTGACCCGTTTGCGGCGTTTTAAAAAGCCGCTAACTTTTCTTCGGATGTGTCCCCTCCCCGCCCGTATTCTTTTGTTTTTCCAACGGTGCGTCTAATAAGATGCAACGTAAATTATTACATTTTCTCTCTTGCGAGAACACTGAGACTGTGTACTCGTTAATTAAGCTAGAAAATAAATGTACACTCGCACGTCTCAACTCACGCGTGTGGATGTTAATAATAATAATTAAATATACATACGTTTCACGTATAACGTGATTGACTTGGAGCATTCAGAGCTTTCCCTGATCTGTTACATCGGATTCGGTAATCTGCAAGGCACCTGAAACATAAAATGCGATATTCTCGAACAGCGTTCCTCTCAGGATTTCCTTGTCCAAAGAAAGATCAATGATGCGATCGCAGATCTCGTGTATGTCATGTCAATAGAGACAGTTTCAATTCGGCGTAATATGATTCTTGGAACAGACGTAAATATAAGTATTGTGAAGTTTGAAGCGAGTCTCTCACAGGCATGCTTTGAAAACACGAGTTGTTTTCATTTTCAGCTAACGGACGACGCAGGCATCAACACTGATCGGCAAGGTCAGCGACTGGTGGGGGGTAACCGTGCCTACCCGAATGTTTGTTTTCGTACGCTTATATATGACTCCATGATTGCGGAAAGGACATTGCGCCTCGGGCCGACGAACGACGCGCATACCGCGACGCAGAATAATACGAGTGTCGGTTAATACGCGTTTCTTTGTCCTCGAATCTTACTTGCGCGAGTGTTAGAGCTAGAGTCAGTGTCGTCGCCAGTGCTACGATGGAGTATCCGGGGGTGCTGCGACGGAGTGACCAGAAGGAGGACGTCGGATCGAGAAGCCAGGATGGAGAGAGAGGACTTGGAGCGCGCCGAGAGACGTAGCCGAGGACAGCGATACATCATGTATGGTATTCGAGGTACCTGGAATAATTATTATTAAGCAGGATTTTTCTGATTTTAACGGACCTTACTCGAAGTAAGGACATACCCGAGTCGAAATTAGATCAGCATTCATAGTTTATCATCTGAAAAATAATAAGATACCTTGAGATTTGATTATACGTTAACCTAATTTCACGTAACATAAGTTCTTTTCTCATAAAATATGAATGTCTATTCAAGCAAGGTTGCTGAGGCAAGCTAAGGAATACAAATTTTTTATTATGTTCTCAATAAAAAGTTGCACATAATTTAGAAAACTATGAATAATGATCTTAGAATCTGATATAAATTTTGCAATTGTTGATTTTTATTCGTCTAATAATGCTCAGATTGCTGTTTTCGTTTAGAATCTGCTAGAATGTCCGTTTCTCATTCTTGTTTATCTTTCTTATTGTGCCGAATCTGAATTAAAATCTCTATTAGTGAAACAGCATTATTAGACATAACCGTTGTCTTTTTGCAGCTTCAGCTCTTTTGAGAGCTACAATTCTCATCATTCTCATTAGAAAAAAGAAAAGAAAAAAAGAAAGAAGAAAAAGGAAAAAAGAACTTTAAGAATGATGAGAATAAAAAGTGTTTTTCATCCCCCATTTCCTCTAATTCTTATATGATTATTTAATCCTTATATATTTATTTCACGCGTAGTTCTAACAAAGGCAGTTCTATTTACGTTTTTATCTTTGGTCTCTTTCTTGCGCTGTTAAGCGAATATATAATCAAAATCAACAAAAATTGCCCATTTAAATTAAAAATATAAGGATTAAGTACATATACATTATCGAAATAAACGAGTATTAAATAACTGCGGAATACTGCGGTCGCTGTTGAAGACTCATCATGGGCGAGACTGCGAGAGTAGCCAGATGTAACGTTCAGGTAGGACAAAGCTTGTTCACTATTGCGCATCTAGATATTCTGTATTGATTTTTCAAATTGGATGCAATTTGCAGGATTAATGTAGAATTAATATTTCGACTCGGGAAAGACTTTTTTTTATCAAATCCTAACTTGTAGAAAACTATCGATTTGAATGTCGGCAAGAAAAAAAAGGAGTTAATTTGTTGAATAAATTAGAGGGGTAAATACCTGAAAAATGAGGACGAATTGTCATTGCACTTGGACAATCTTCTGACACTGATTTATGGTATTGATCGATATTCGATTTTCGGTACTGATTTACTCTTTCATTTCTCTACAAGAAAAAAAATTGATACGACTCGTACATTTATCCGCGTTAATTTGATGAATAAATTAAATATTGATCGGTCTTCAATTTTCGGTACTGATTTATTCTCTCATTTCTTTATAAGACAAGAAAAATTGATACGGATCATTCGTTTATTCGAGTCAATTTGTTGAGTAAATTAGAGGGATAAATACCTGAAAAATGAGAACAAATTGTCATTGCACTTGGACAATTTTCTGATACTGATTTACGGTATCGATCGATATTCGATTTTCGGTACTGATTTACTCTTTCATTTCTCTATAAGAAAAAAAAAATTCATACGAATCGTTCATTTATCGGCGTTAAATTGATGAATAAATTAAATATTGATCGGTCTTCAATTTTCAGTACTGATTGATTATCTAATTTCTTTATAAGAGAATAAAAATTGATACGAATCGTTCTTTTATCCGACATAATTTGTTGAGTAAATTAGTGGGGTAAGTACCTGCAAAATGAAAACAACTCGTCATTGCACTTGGACAATTTTTTGACACTGATTTACGGTATTAATCGATATTCGATTTTTGGTACTGATTTACTCTTTCATTTCTCAATAAGCAAAAAAATTCATACGAATCGTTCACTTATCCGCGTTAATTTGATGAATAAATTAAATATTGATCGGTCTTCAATTTTCGATACTGAATGATTCTTTAATTTCTTTATAACAGAATAAAAGTTGAATACGACTCGTTCTTTTATCCGACTTAATTTGTTGAGTAAATTAGTGGGGTAAGTACCTGCAAGCTGAAATTAACTTGTCATTGCACTTGGACAATTTTCTTGACATTGATTTATGGTATTGATCAGTCTTCGGGTTTCGGTATTGATTTATTTTCTCATTTTTTTATAAGACAAAAAAAATTGATACGAATCGTTTATCCGAGTTAATTTGTTGAATAAGATTAGAGGGGTAAGTACCTGAAAAATAAGAACAAATTGTCATTGCACATGGGCAATTTTTTGACACTGATTTATGGTATTAATCGATATTCGATTTTCGGTACTGATTTATTCTTTCATTTTTCTATAAGAAAGAAAAATTCATACGAAACGTTCATTTATCCGCTTTATTTTGATGAATAAATTAAATATTGATCGGTCTTCGGTTTTCGGTACTGATTTATTCTCTCATTTCTTTATAAGAAAAGAAAAATTTATATGGATCGTTCGTTTAACCGAGTTAATTTGTTGAGTAAATTAGAGAGGTAAATACCTGAAAAGTGAGAACAAATTGTCATTGCACTTGGACAATTTTCTGACGCTGATTTATGGTATTGATCAGTCTTCGGTTTTCGGTACTGATTTATTTTCTTATTGTTTTAAAAGACAAAAAAATTGATACGAATCGTTCGTTTATCCAAGTTAATTTGTTGAATAAGATTAGGGGGGTAAGTACCTGAAAAATAAGAACAAATTGTCATTGCACTTGGACAATTTTCTGACACTGATTTGTGGTATTAATCGAGATTCGATTTTCGGTACTGATTTACTCTTTCATTTTTCTATAAGAAAAAAAAATTCATACGAAACGTTCATTTATCCGCGTTATTTTGATGAATAAATTAAATATTGATCGGTCTTCGGTTTTCGTTACTGATTTATTCTGTCATTTCTTTATAAAAAAAGAAAAATTGATACGGATCGTTCGTTTAACCGAGTTAATTTGTTGAATAAATTAGAGGGGTAAGTACCTGAAAAATGAGAACAAATTGTCATTGCACTTGGACAATTTTCTGACACTGATTTATGGTATTAATCGATATTCGGTTTTCGGTACTGATTTATTTTCTCATTTTTTTAAAAGACAAAAAAAATTGATACGGATCTTTCGTTTATCCAAGTTAATTTGTTGAGTAAGATTAGAGGGGTAAGTACCTGAAAAATAAGAACAAATTGTCATTGCACTTGGACAATTTTCTGACACTGATATATGGTATTAATCGATATTCGATTTTCGGTACTGATTTACTCTTTCATTTTTCTATAAGAAAAAAATTCATACGAAACGTTCATTTATCCGCGTTATTTTGATGAATAAATTAAATATTGATCGGTCTTCGGTTTTCGTTACTGATTTATTCTGTCATTTCTTTATAAAAAAAGAAAAATTGATACGGATCGTTCGTTTAACCGAGTTAATTTGTTGAGTAAATTAGAGGGGTAAGTACCTGAAAAATGAGAACAAATTGTCATTGCACTTGGACAATTTTCTGACACTGATTTATGGTATTAATCGATATTCGGTTTTTGGTACTGATTTATTTTCTCATTTTTTTAAAAGACAAAAAAAATTGATACGAATCTTTCGTTTATCCAAGTTAATTTGTTGAGTAAGATTAGAGGGGTAAGTACCTGAAAAATAAGAACAAATTGTCATTGCACTTGGACAATTTTCTGACACTGATTTATGGTATTAATCGATATTCGATTTTCGGTACTGATTTACTCTTTCATTTTTCTATAAGAAAAAAAAATTCATACGAAACGTTCATTTATCCACGTTATTTTGATGAATAAATTAAATATTGATCGGTCTTCAATTTTTGGTACTGATTTATTCTCTCATTTCTTTATAAGACAAGAAAAATTGATACGAATCATCCGTTTATTCGAGTTAATTTGTTGAGTAAATTAGAGGGATAAATACCTGAAAAGTGAGAACAAATTGTCATTGCACGTGTGCAATTTTTTGACACTGATTTATGGTATTAAACGATATTCGATTTTCGGTACTGATTTACTCTTTCATTTCTCTATAAGAAAAAAAAAATTCATACGAGTCGTTCATTTATCTGCGTTAATTTAAGAGATGATAATTCGGATAATAATTAGAAGATGCAATTTTTTACAGAAATATGTATAGAAATGCATATGTACAGAAAAAGAATCATGTGCTGTTGAACGAAGTGTAAGTTTGTGGGCGATGCCGTGTTTTTCAAACCCGCAATTATAGGCGTACCACAGACACGAACCGCCAGTAAATAGGCGTAGAACGGACACGCACCAAATAGAGACTTTACCGGCATCCGCAAATGGGCGTAGTCAACGTAGTTTCCGGCTCAATGGGCGCAGATAGCGCTAATATCAGTCATCAAAATGCATGTCGCCAAAAACGCCGGTGTGGCCGTTCTCAAGCTTCTCTCTGGTGATACTAAAAACTCAGCCCTGAGTAAATTTTCGTAATGACAAGGGGGCCTCGAAGGGCCTAGCGTTAAATGGAGAACGACAATATCGGCTGTTTAGCTACGCTAATTTTTCAAGTGGTATATGTCAATGATGGAGAAGTCTGTGATGGGCCAAATGATTTCTATAATTGTCACTCAACTCAGCGTAAACTTTTTTTATTGCATTTAAATAATACGTATCGATGACAAATTAAAGGGATATTTATCTTTAAGTAGCATGATGTAATAATGAATTGAACAAAGAAGTTTCTCATTGTTTATCAACATCATAATTAAATAATACAAAAGATTTAAGCTAACTCTTCCCCTCTCTTTCTTGCTCTCTTTCTCTCTCCCTTTCTCTCTATTCATATATAATATTACATTATTCATATTTTTATCTTAATTAGGTATTATATACATTTCCTTTTAGTCATAAATCTTAGGTGCAATCATTTAAACTTCAAAACTATCCACAGTATGAGAAATACTACTATGGAAAATAGGAATAAATATAAGATGTAATAATTGTGTCCTGCTTTTGCTAGACGTAAAACACGCGCCACTGAACCTGACAAAAAGCCACTTGTTCTATCAAAATCATCATCCTAAAATGAATTTATGTTTTTTATGAAACAGATAATATTTAAAACTTGATAAATGTCTAGAAATCTGACTTACTAACCATAGATCTCAGCATTTTATCTTGATACTTTACTTCAGTGCCAATGTCAATGGATAATGATTTTAAAGCATGAATTTTGTCCCTTAGTTCTTCGGTCACTCTTTCATTCTCGTCTTCCATAGCATTTTGGGTAGATGTACTTGGCAATGGTTCATAGCCATAACCACCTGCAAAATGAAAAATTATATAACATGAAAACTGAATATCCAGTACAGTTAATTAATACAACACATACACTCACCGGAATGAGATCTTCGCATTTTGTTAGCAATCTTGACAATCTGGTTGATAAACAAGTCAGATGGAAAATTTTCGCTCGATAAAACACTTTATAATTTTGAGAGCGCTTTATTTTAATTTATCTAAAAAGAATATTATATTCGGTCATTAGAATAAATGATCACAAATCTTAATGTAACCTCTCTTAGACTAACATAATCTTACTCAAAGCAGCAATGATACATCAAGATGTGTACGAATAATGTCGTTCCAATTAAAATATATTGTTTACGCAAACCGACTATTTTATATGTCAATGATACTTGATTGTTAAAAAATATTTAAGCCAATATAAAAATAATCTAAAACGTAAGAGACACCTGTGCGATTTATCAGGAGGATATATCCGAAATTTTGTGACGAAAAAAGTATCTATTATTTACCAGCTATATAAACAGTGTCGGGAGTCAAATAACAAATATAATAGCGATGTATGTTAATATACGTCAACGTCACGCATGCAATGACGTGTAATCGAGAATATCACGAACGATGATTTCTGTCAGGTTAGGGTACGATCAGCTTAGGTTAAGACATGTTAGGTTAGGAGACAATATTTAAATGGTAGCTGGACATTTAAATGTTAGGAATGGAAACATGATGAATTTACATCGTCATATGATTAGACGGAAAACAATGCATATGTAACATTATCAAGCGCTACAATAAACAAATCACTGAGAAATCTCAGTCAACTTAGATATGTTTTTATTTTACGAAAAACTCTCTTTTATGAAACATCTTTCTTATATAGCTTATTAAACAGATCGTGGATAAAAAGGATATTTAGAATCGTGTCTCGGTTTATTATCGAGTAGAGAATATGTTAAATATAAAGGCACAAACAATAAGAAGTACTTCGCTACTTTCTAAATTCCTACTCAGACAATCAGTGTGCGCGTGTATGATGTGTATGTATGTGTATGTATTTCATAGATCTTCCTTCTACGTTCGATATATAGACAATCATCTCGCGCTAACAATCTCGTCCATAAAATCACTTACAGAGGCGGAGAAACACTTATGAGTAACGTTAAGATCTAGCTCTTTGATCTCTCGAACTTAAATAATTTAATTACGACTATCTATATTCACAACCCTATAAGAAAACAAAGTCCTTAATGTATGTATGTGTGTGTGTTGTGTGTGTTTATGTGTGTGTGTGTGTGTGCGTGATCGTTTCTCCATCTCCTTCCCTCGCGATCAGATGGGAGAGGAGACGCAATTCCTAATGAGCCGACGATGCGGCTGTAAATAAACGAATATTAACACCTCAATATTATCGTGATATATAAAGTTCTCGATATGAAAACCTCAACAAGTTTAGAAACACAATTTCTCTCGCAAAAGCCCTTCGTCAACGCTCGTGCTCTAAATCGCACATGTTGTGAGTACTAAATCTATACAATCTCCACAATTTAACATCTCTCTATCTCAACGTAGAACACTGATAAGTACATTTGATGCCACCGCGAGGTCACGCCGTCGTGTGACCGTCGATCCCGCACGCCGTTACACTTATTATATGTCGCTATACATATACACGTAAAAACGTCTCTCTACGCGCACGTCGTTACACGATTTACGCTATTGACGATTTGATCCCAAGAAGCGTTAATTAGTCGAGATTAGGCCCGTAATCTATGCACGCTCTATTGTACGCGTCGTGAAAGGATGTCTGCCGCGAGAGATTCGGTTGGCCGATCGATTCGCGCGTGATTGGAATGTTTGATCCACAGAATAGGGAGAAAGGAAAAAAAATAGAACCACAGAAGTCGATCGAGCTTAAGCGCTGCGGATCGTGTATCGTCGACCTTTACAAATATATTTTGTACTTTCTCACACGTCCACACACACACACACACACACACACACACACACTTCGCCTAAGAGGAGGAATTCTGTTCTCCCAGTATGTGCGCGCTAGTCGCTAATAGTCGGGACTGCCACGTGGGATCGTGGAAAATTTGCACGAAGAAGCGAGAGAGAAAGAGAGATTTGTGCGATACCGGAGGATTCACGTTCGCGACGAACCGTGTTACCAAGGGCGACTCCGTTACCAACTAAACTAAAAGATTTCCTCCAACGTTATCCTGAACAAGATACATATATATACAGTGTTGAGCATCGTTCTCGATCTTTCTTAAATAATACAACAGTACACAGTCCCCGTCGGGACGAATCGATCGTTAGGCAAGAAGACTTTAAACGTATCGTCGTAAACGCGTTCATCAGTGATGACGGATATGAAAATACGCGTATACGCGTGTAACTATCTGTATGTATGTTAACCGCAATTTATATAGGACAGTATAAAAAAGATCATAGGAAGGGGGGAGTTACATATAAATGCAAAGAGTTCCGTCTGTGTGCGCACGTGTGTATATGTGTGTGCATGTGCATGTATATGTGTGTGTGTGTGTGTATGTGTGTGTGTGTGTGTGTTATCATCGTGGTCGCCTCCCGGTTAACTGTTACGTTCGGAGAGGTGCGTGAAAGGAAAGCTCGAAGGTGCCGCGGACGGAGCTAAGACGGACGCGACGATCCGCCAGCGCGCGCGTCGCGGAATTATTTGGAATATTTCGATGTGTTCAGAGCAGCGTTGGACGAATGAATGCGCCGCGACGGCGCCGGGCTGACCGGAGCCGACGGGGACGGTCCGGTAGGCGTCGTCGGCTTGGAGCCTCTCCTGCTTCGCCTCAGGGTCGAGTACGGACTGGTGCCGCGGTTCACGTGCTCGTGCGCGTACAGTAGCACGCCGATGTCCCGGTTACCCGCCTCCAGAGCGATCTTCAGAGCCGAGCTGCCGTCCACGTCGACGATCGACGGGTCGCAGTCTGGGTGAGCGAGCAGTAGCCGCACGATGTCAGCGTGGCCGTGTTCCGCGGCGCACATCAGAGCGGTGCTACCGTCCTCGTCCTGGATGTTGACTGCCGCGCCGGCGTCCAGCAGCAGCTGCGTCATGTCTTTGCGTCCGTGCGACACCGCCAGCATCAGCGCCGTTTGCCCGTGCTGTCGGCAAGAAAATTCGGTAAATATTAGAACGCTTTGGAGGACAGTTTGAAGGTATGGAGAAGAGGATGTTGTTGACTCGCAGAGTTGTTCAACAGCGCGATGCGATTGATGCGGATCTTCTTGATTCACACTGAACGAATCGAACATTTCGCTTGAAAGAAACAGAATTGAAGATTCCTGTGAGCTAAATTCAGTTTGTAGAGCCAAAAATGCTATTGAATCAAGGAGATTTTTACCTCAATTACAGCGCTGTTGTCTGACTCAACAGCATTCTTTTCGTGAAGGATCTTCATGATCTTATGATGAATATTAGGGTGTGCATTATAAAGCAAGGGTTACCAGTTTCGCGCGGATGTTGACATCTGCAAGCTGGAACAGCCTGTTCGCGACGGAGGCATGCGTGGAATTCCGGACCTCCGCTAACGCGGCTAACATGACGGCCGTGTAGCCGGCTACGTTCGCCTTGTTGATGTCGCAGACCTTCGAGTCTAATAATATGGACACCACGTCGAAGTTACCGTGAGAGACCGCGTAGTGCATCGCCGTGTTTCCGCTCGCATCCGTCATGTTGACGATATATTCTAGCAGAGTGCCGGAGCATTCCTCGAAGCAGTCTAAATAGTCTTCAACGTCCAGCGGGTTCGCGCTCGACATGCTGGAGATCTTGAACCACTCCTGCTGTATTATATTGGTGGCGTTCTTCAGCTGATGAGAGATATTCCTGCTGGGCGACTTCTTCAAGCTGTCGTTCAGCACCTTCATGGCGGCCTGCATCTCTTTGGAAGGCTCGACCTTCTTCCTAGGCTTGTCCTGAATCGGCTGAAACAACGCTGACTCGGGCAACTCGGGCTTCTCCTCGCTATCCGTCTCCTTTTCCACATTACGAGTCTCCTCGGACACAGTCTTCTCATTCTTGTTCTTCTCGGACTGTAGTTGTTGAATCCTGCAAGAGTGAGACACAACAATCAAGCCGCGAACTCGAGCGAACTCATCTCCAAATCTCACAGTCAACTCAATTTCAAGTTCGAGTCTTTCAAACTTCAGATTCACCCTTGAGGCTCAGTCAATCAATTGCATTGATCACCTATCGGAATGTCTCATTAATATTAAATATTCTATTCCAAGCGCAAGGTGGGCAAATGTCAAAGCGACGTCGGGCCGCCAAAAATAAACGGCAATGTAACCAGACAGAAGATCAATGCTGACAGTCGACACGAGCGTTAAGACTCAGCGTAATCTTAGATTACGGCTTAGGAAAGATGTTATACCCTTCCGCGGCTAGACGGGGCGGGACGCCGGCGGCTTCGGGAGCGCTGAGTAAACGAGCGACGCGTTGCTGCGACGGCTGTTGCTGCTGCTGTTGTTGCTGTTGCAGCATCGATTTGCCGACGATCGAGGACGCGCTCACTCGTTCACCATAGCAAGATCGCCAACGACGCAAGACGCACCGATGCGCACCACCGACACCGACACCGGTGACTCTCGTCACGGTGTGTATTTACGTCACCGCCGTCGTCGTCGTCGTGGTCGTTGTTGTGGTGCGGGAGAGCTTCAATGACGCACTCGACGACACGCGCGCAACCATGGACTCGAAAAAGGACAACAAACTGCGATCTGCGCACTCGACCGGCGCGGACTGTGCGTCATACGCGGCTCTCCCTGGCTCGCAACCCCTCGTTCACACCCCCTTTATCCAGGAGCAACCCCTGAACCGACCTTCGACCGCGAGGATGACAGATGGCGCGGAATATGATCGAGCGGGAAGGGTGACTCGAGTTCTCGATGGGTAAGCTATATTACTCGCTGCTTCGCGCGATGCGCCGGAAGGTACCCGGGGGATGAAACCAATAATTAGAAGTTCATGATTGGACGAGCGTGAGAGGGAAGAGTGGGCCTTTAGAACAGCGAGTGCGACTGGTGATACTTTGAAACGGTCGTTAAAGTCAGGATGACGACGACGGCGGGAAAAGTCTCATTGATAATTTCTTTATTTATCCAGCTATTTAGACACGCAGACATGAGATGAATGAAGAAGATAAAGTCACTAACCGGTTACTGCTGTCGTACTGCTCCTTGTTATCCGTGTCGTATCTGATGACACCGGCGGCCGGTATCTTCGTATACGTGTCTTGCCGTTTGAACTGCCTTCTATGGTCGCCGGCGTTCAATGGGATGTGGGACGGCCTGGGGATCCTTGACACCAGGCTGCTGTTCTGATGGTTCAGACTGTTCTCCGCGTTGTTCGCGATCTGCTTCGCCAGACTCTTGATCGTCTCCTTGCAGTTGTCGCAGTAATTCGCCGCGCACGAGATGGAGATGTGCGGCCGGACCGAGTCGCCCACCGACACGTCCACGAGCTTCTTCTTCAACGGCGAGGTGCCGAAGTCGCGGCACTTCGGCGCCAGGCCGGACGTGTCGGTGCCGCGCGCGACCGTCCTCACCAAGTCGTCCACCATCACGCCCATCGATCTGCTGCTGCTGGTTTTGCTCTTGGCCCGGCTGTCACCGTAGTTGAACGAATGGCTCCTCGAGTTCATCGAGTTCAACGACACCGGCTGCGACGTCGCGACGGGATCCGGCCCGACGCACACGGTCCTGCTATTGGGACTCAGTCTGACCTCGACCCCGACCTCCGCCGTCCTCGGCTTCGCGGTCACGCTCACGTGCGAGCGCATCTTGAAGTGCTCGGTCACCTGGATCGCTTGGTTCCGCTTTTCGACAGCCTTGGGCGCCTCCAGGCTGCACTGGGTGCTCTTGGACGACGTGTCCTTCACGAGACTACGCTTGTACGCCCTCAGGGCGCTCTCTACGAGCGCCGAGGCGTCCTCGTTACTTAGCATGTTGCTCATCGTCAAGCTCGTCGTTGTTCCGCACGAGCGCTTCTTCGGCTCCCTCTTCGTTTCCGGTGCAATGTCCTCGATCAGGAAGTGACTGCACTGCAGAGTCCTGGCTCTGTTCTCCGTGTTGGTGCCCGAGTCTCGCGTTTTTTTCGTCATTTTACGGTCGATTGGATCGCTCTCATTGGGCGGTATCGATTCCACTTGCAGCGGAGTCCGCGTCAGGTGTCTCTTCCTCGTTTCCGGCGTCGGTTGATCGCGCGTTAGGCTCGAGTTCGAGCAGAGCTTCGACAGGCTCGACGGGGTCCCGTCCTCCAGCAGTGACACGCTGCTCTCGTCTTGGATGTCGGGCACGATCTCTTGGATCTGCAACCGGCTCTTCTGCAGCATCGGCTTGATCGGCGTGCTCGTCACCATACCGATGTCTCTCGTCCGAACCTGCTCGCGACAGAACAATTCGTGGTTAAATTGTCGAGCATTTGGCGCGCACGATCGACCGGCCCGCGAAGCTCGCCTGAGAGGCTTCGTGAACGCGAGCGATCGGATTTCGTCGATTTGATCGTCGCCGTCATTTCCGACGACTTTGGTTAGCCGCGCTTTAGAAATTCGCCCGATCGCGGCGACGTCGATTTTCTTTTCACATAATGGACATTATCGAAAGCGAGTTATCCTTCTTGCGCGTATTACGAACCGACGCATACCGGACAGATCATGTTGCCGATGACGTATCCGGGGAATTTCAACAAGAAACGCAACACGGCACCCAGCAGCACCAGCATATCGCAATCGGCGGGATACATGCGTCTCTAGTCTTCAGTCGCGCGAAGTCTCCATTCACGCCGACATTTACGCGAATTACGTACTGACGCGCAAGCACGTGCCTGCGGTCGAACGGCGCAAGCCAGGAAAGCACGAGAGAGAAAGAGAGGAGGGGGAGGGAGGGAGAGAGAGAGAGAGAGGTGCGCGAAGCGAAGAGATAGACGCGCGCCGGCGAGACCGCGTGTCGCCATTTAAAAATTCCGATTTTCACTTCTACGTGTAATTGGCCGCGCGATTGCTACTCACTTCTGCACGCATGCGAAAATCGATCAGATAAGTTCACGAAGTGGTGTACCTTCCCACCGGCGCGCTTCTGGCGAGGAATTGCGTGTCTGGAAAAATTATGCGTCGGAATAACGGTCGACGAGATCGGAGAGAGAGAGAGAGAGAGAGAGAGAAAGAGAGAGAGAGAGAGGACGCGAATAAGAAATATTTTTTCTCGAGGCAGCGGCCGTTAAGCCGATAAGCGCGATAAATTTAATTTTCGTTGAATGAAATCACCTCATCTCCTCAGAATTTTAAATCCGGAAAGAAAGACGACGGGGAGGGGAGGAAGAGAGGGATACGTTAAACTGTAGTTCGACCTAACGAGTGCAGATGGTATCACGCAAGAGAACACGCTCCTGCGTGTTCTCGCAACGTCGGTTATCTAGATAATTCTAATTAGATCTAGATATGGATATGACGAAAATTACGTGTATTGCGTTCGGCCGACGGAAGCGCCGGGGTTCGGGGTTTACCTGTTGATGCGAGACCCCGACGTCCCTCGTCATCACGCTGCACATGGTGCCCATGTTCCTGGTGGACGTGCCGACGTCGGAGTTCTTGAGGTTTCGCAGGGCGGCGCGCTGCTCCGAGAACGACTGGCTGCGATGCCTGTGCAGGGTGTTGTTGCAGGTATTCGTTTTACTCAGCTCATCCACTTGTCGCAGCAGATTGCGCTTCTCCTCTTTCAGCACCGAGACTTGTACCTGCGAAGGAGAGGGAGAGAGAGAGAGAGAGAGAGAGAGAGAGAGAGAGAGAGAGACAAAAAGAAAGAAAAGAAATAGAGAGCGACCGTGCGACGGAGATGCATATGAGAGAGAGGACAATAGTATAGGCAAGCTTTTATCTAAACTGATAAGAGCGAGAGGGAAATATAGCGCGAGAGACGTACAGTGTGGTGCCTCGACTGGCGTTTTTCAGCGAGTCAGCGAGATCGCGATGCTGTTCGCTGACTTGAAGGAATAAAAGAAAGGAATAAAACAGAGACCGCTAGAAAGAGAGAAAGAGAGAGAGAGAGAAAGAGAGAGAGAGAGAGAGAGAAAGAGAGCGAGCGAGCGAGTGAAGCCTCACAGCCGATTGTGCAAAATAATCATAGCGGTTCTCGCCGGATCCGCCGTGACTTTTTACGTCGAGCTAATTACAAGTTCACGAGCTCGCCGCATCTCCCCGGGAGCGTAGATGAAAATTGCTTCATTACCTCGCGCCGTTGGCGCATAATGAGGCATCCCCGCGATGGCAACAAACGGATCGCGATAAAGCGGTGGGAGAGAGTATCTCTTATCCGAGCGCGTTTCGCGCTAGAACGGAAGACGAGCCCGGCATGGGTGCAAATTACGCGGCGGGGCGATGAACGTTACGAAAGTGTAGGAGGGACGCGAAATTAGCGGGAACTCACCTGCAGCATGGGAATCGCCTTGACCTGTTCCTCCAGCTCTCTCATCCTTTCGAGAGACGCCGCCATTTGCTCTCGGATATTCTGCAATGCCGGCAAAATGCGTCTTTACCCATCAACTCCTACTCAATTGCCCGCCAAATGCCACCGTGGCCGTCTAACTATTCAGCTGGAAGCTTGTTATCCTCGTTTGGTGAAATCAATTGGAATAACGAGGGAAAGCGAGAGAAAGAAATGGAAACCGCGCGACACACAATTACACGCTAAATTGCACAGCCACACTTGCAAATCCGAGTGTCTTACTTTGACACACATAAACGTGTAGTCGGCTGGAGCTTTCTTCACGCGTTTCTGTTTCTCTTCAATCACCGCCGTTTAATTCGTCTAAACATCATTCGACACGTTTCGAGCGTACTAAATAATGACGCGATTCAAGGCGACCGGAAACATGCGAAGAAAGCTTCAGCCACAATTACACGCCAGTTATATGGCCAGTTTGTTCCAATTCCTTGCTAAGCTAACTGATAGTTAAATCATACATCTGTCTTTGTCTAAGTTGAAGGAACAACAAAGACAGACATATGACTGAATGATCAGTTAACTTACCAAGAAGTTGGAACAACCGTGTCGGAGTAACGAATTCGGATTTGCAGTGCAGGCGAGGATTTTTCGCGAGAGATTCATGAGAGACGTGTCGCGTTCCTCGGAGCTTCGCTGCAAATTCAAGTGCGTTACGAGCATGTCAGATGTTTCTTCCATACGTTCAAATGTATTAAATTAAATTACAATTTAAACTGTGACTCGATACGCGTGACGAGAGAAACGTATGAAAAGAGCTGCGATAAAAATAACACACTAAAATCCGGAGTGCCCGCGGCTGCTCATTGCTGCAATGGCCGACGCAGAGAGACTTGCGACGCGACCCTCCTACCTGAAGCGCGCCGGTGCTGAGGTTCGAGTTGCCGCTGCCGACGCTGACATTGTCGGAATCCGCCGGATGGTCCGTCTGCGCCGCATTTTGCGACACCGGCGGCGCCGTCGTCCCGTTCGTGCCATCTGATGAAAACGAAGACGCGCGTCAGATCAGTCGAGTGAAGAGTCGCGTGCTGAGTTAGCGCGCGATTGAATTCGCGAAGGGGAAGATCGCGAGCGAGGTCTCCCCGATGTCGTTCGCGATCTTCTCCGAAAACGCGACAGCTGCACCCGGACGCTTCAGTCGACCTACCCCTCCCCCCTCGCCGCAGCCTGCGAGCAAGCATCGACCTTGCCCTCGCGACTTCGTGAAGCCCCTTGGAGCCGGGGAGCGAGCTAAAGCCGATCGCCCAGCGGAAATCTTGCGAACAACCCGCTGGATTTCTGCGATCGCTGATCAGCTCGTTCCCCGCTGACGGATATATCTACACTCTACCGGTATCTCGCGTATCTTCCGCACGATCTCGCCGCGTTATCGCCGAGCTCGTTCGCTCTACGAGTGTTTGACGTCGCATTACTGCCGCTTAGATAAGACCCGCGGCGACGCGACAGCGTCTCTCGAAGCGAAACGCAATTGCGCTCCTCCGAGCCGCGTCATCGGCAGGACAATAGGCGGGCAAAATTGAAGATCCCCGGCCGTTCTTGTTTATCGCACGCGTTCCTTACGCAACCTTCATAACAGGCTAACCTGCGTCCACCTGCCCCCCTCGAGATGCTTTTTAATCAGCGGTTGCGCAACGTTGCACCAGCGACGGCCGGTTATCTCGAATCGTGCGGGGGACGATGAAGAAATGCGCGACGGACGTCGCGGCGAATTCTCCGGCCATTCGTGACATGCCTCGTGGGCTCGTCACACGCTACCCTGCACGCGACCCTCGTCGCAGGAGGCGCGTATGTGCAGGGTGCGCCGCGACCTTCCGCCTCGACCGGGGATTAGTCGTCGTGGGTGAAATTCCGATCTCGGGTACGAGCAGGATTTGTACGTTTCCTCTGAAAAGCAGAACGCGTTTGGTGCGTTCGCTCATGACGACATTAACCCCTTCTTGACCTACAATATTGTGTGAGATTGTGGTGAGGAATTTGTACCAAATATAAATATAAGAAGCACGAGCCAGGCTCGTGGCACGCATATCGGGCTAATATAAATATATAAGAAGAACGGGTAAGATTCATCGTGTGTTTTGCGAGCCAAACATAGGAAACACAAGTAAGACTCGTGGTTCAATTGTTACGTGTTTCGGTCAACGTTCCGCGTCTGCGATTTGCGTTTTGCGACTTGCGATTTATGTAGACTGGGCATTACAGATGCAACTTTATCACCGATTTTAACGCTGTTGCGACTTAAGGGGACTCAGATTACTGAAAAATCGCGCTTGCTTTTGATAATACTTGATGACAAATTGAATAAATGTACAAGAATGAAAATTTGAGATATATTTATATAATACATGAAGAGTAGAAAAATTTTGTTTATTAACAAATACTCATATAAATATACGTTCACTTAAATGTTAAACGAGTTTTTCTCGAAATTTTATCGTTCAACTTTTTGCAGTGATTTCTCCGAAACTGAGCTTTGTGTCGATTTGAAATTTTGAAGCAATAATATTTGTTCATCTGGCTCTCAGGTGAACCATGGACAACTCCGTCAAAATATTTCATTTCGAGATATTAATCTTTTTATTGTAAAATAACTGAAAAATTTGAATTCTTTCCTAATAATAGCTGTCATTTTGTTAATCTTGTTCCATTTTCTTTTGTAATGGTTCACCGGATAATGATAAGCCTCCTCAAGATTTCTAGCTAAAATTCACTCTGATCGGACCACCAAGAGCCGAGATATTACTGCAAAAACGACAACTTGAAAAAGAAAGGAGAGCATATTTCGGATATACATATCGTATATTTATACGAGTATTTGTTAATAAACAAAATTTTTCTACTCTTCGTATGTTGTATAAATATACCTAAAATTTTCATTCTTGCACATTTATTCAGTTCGTCACAAAATATTATCAAAAACAAGCACAATTTTCCAGCAATCTGACCCTCCAGTCCCCTTAAATCACTGACAGTCCCTTTAAATCACAGTGCAAGGGGATTAATGTGGCGCATCGGTCTCTTCTCCGTGTAATTATCTCATTGCACTCGAGCGTAATTTGAATCGAACGTCTTGTTGCATTCGAATGGAATTCTCGTTGGAAGATATCTAAGATCGAAGAGCGCGGGAAACGGATGATTTCACCGGGGAAAAGTCCGATTGGTCGGAGGAGATCCGTCGTTAAAATCAAGGTCGCGAGTCGCGGGACACTCTGTACACGTGCGTGTATGCGTGTGTACGTGTGTTGTTATTAACGTTGAAGTGCCCGAGTCACGCGCGCCACGCGCCTTGCACATGTGGATTAGGCGACATAAAAAGGCTAAACGCCGATCTCCAGCGCTGCGTGAAAGCCGCGCCGCCGGTGGCCGCGTGCCAATCGCGAGATCGCGATAAATTCGTAGCGAGGATGAGCCGGGCAAATTAATGGGGCGACCGTGCGTCTGTTGCGTGTTGGGAGTTACGTGTCGTCGGCCGCGGTTGACAGACGCGGTTTCTGCCGCAAAACGCTCGGCAGCCGTTCCTTCCGCAGGAACTCACGGAACGCCGCGAGTTTTCAGAGCGGTGGATGTTTCACGATATTGTTATCATCCTAGAATCGCGTTTCTCAACGAATTATCAGTTTTTCCTCGCTCGATCAAAAATTTATTATCTTTTTCAACATTTACTTTCTTTTCCTCTGTTGATTTGCGATCGCGTTGATTTTTCACCTCATTCGCGAGACTCTTTTCCATTTCTCTCTTGACACCTTCGATCACGGTAATGAAAAGTCACGAGCAACTTGGGTAACTTGACATACGTGAGGAACGAGCGACACGTGAGAATTCGTGCAGCGCGACTGATCTTTTCTCCTTTTCCGTCGCCGAGCGCTTTGACAAATCGAGTTGTGCCATCGTCGTCGCCGTCATCGCCACCGTCGCCGCCGTCGTCGTTGTCGTCGTCGTCGACGTGGTCGTAACGAGAACGCGAGAAGGTCGCACATGACACGAATTAGATCCTCTGCTCGAACGTGGACGAGCGGAATTTTCTGTAGAACACTCTGACTCGTCGCCGACACCTGCATCCTTCGGCCGCTCGCGTCGCAAGCAGACGCACTCGTAGAATACAGAAAGAGCCATCGCGCGCTTCTCCCGCGGCGCGACGCGCGACCGCGTGATCTCCGGGAGACGCGGGTTACAGAGAGGCGACAGAAAGAAAGAAAGAAAAGGAAAAACGCGAAAGATACCGACCGCGGAGGTCGTTCGATCTGCTGAGTCGGGGATATCGCATCGCCTCTTGATAATAAATTCAGCCTGCTTGGACTTCGATAAATTATCTTCGTCGATGCCTCGTCGCGAGTGACGCTAATCGCAGCGATAAACAATAGCGTCAGTGTGACCAGACGTGACGCTCTTGCGAAATGGCATCGCGCAAAGAAGTCGCGAAAAATCCTCGGCGCCGATGTTTTCGCCGCTTTATTCGCGTGGGATATCGCGAGATGCGGATTTCTCTCTCTCTCTCTCTCTCTCTCTCTCTCTCTCTCTCGTTCTCTCTCTCTCTCTCTCTCTCTCTCTCTCTCTCTCGTTCTCTCTCTCTCTCTCTCTCTCTCTCTCTCTCTCTCTCTCGCTCGCTCTGACGCAACGCCCGTCGGCGAGCGACCGCGGCGAGGATTGCTTTCGTCCGAATTTCGCGGGGTGACTCACGGTATTTCCGCCTCGTCTTCATCTTGCAGAACGGGATGCGCTTCATGATGAAATTTTTCACCCCCATCTTCGCCGTGCACCGTCGTTCTCGCGCAGCCGACGAATCTACCGCACTATCGCGCGCTTGGCTCTTGCTGCCGCTTCGTCGAAAGTTTGAAGGTTATGCACTTGCCGCCTGAGCGACGCGCGCATCCGAGATATCGCGCGATCTAGATCTCGAAGCGGCGTATCGAACTTCCGGCTCGGAACTTGACGGAGTCGCGGAGGCGGTCAATCCTCGCGGAGGTGGCAGCCCCGGTTGTTGCTCGCGACGAAGCCGGGACTCGTCGCTGACGCGGGTCGTGAAGCCGAAGGATAGATCTGTCCTCGTGCTTGGATCTCCAACGAGGTGTACCTCGGCAGCTCGCAAACAGGCGCAATCGCCGCGAATCGAAAAGTCGCGGAGCGTCGCTCAGCCGCGGCCAACTTCACGCGGCGTCGCGGCTCAACCGACGCAGCGGAACGCGCGCGTAAACGACACTCCGCGTCCGATCGAGACGATCGATCTCGCGAGCAGTCAGTATCACAACTCTCCCAACGCGTCGACCTGCCGTAGTCCGCGCTGCTCGCGATTTCGCCGGCGATTTCCCAGGATGACGAGCTCTCGTCGTGCAGCCGAAGCGAACGCGCAGCCGTTTGTCAGCCGTCAGATATCGGGGGCCGTTTAATAGCGAGGCAGCCGTTGAGCGAGGTTAGTGTTCCTCCTTGTCTCCATCTTCGCGTCTCTCGCCGGGACGAAAATTGGCTCGCCTGGTGAGGTCTCTCGTCGTGGAGTTTAGGTCGCGCGGAATTGCCGATAAAATTGGCTCGAGGCGCGATCGAGTCCCCTACGCGCGCCGGCGGGCTGTAGCCGGATCGTTCGCTCTCTCTCTCTCTCTCTCTCGCTCGTTCGTTCGTTTTTGTTCGCTGCTCCGAGCCTACGTACACACGATGGGCCGCCGCCGCGGCACGGCGACAGTTTGCGTTTGACTGTGCGACGCCGAGGCACCGACAAGCCAAGCGGCGCCGGCCGTTCGCGCTAAGGTGAACGGAGAGGGGAACGAGAGCCTCTCTTCTTCTGCTGTTACTTCTTCGTGTTCCTCCTCCCCCTCCCCCTCCCCCTCCTCCTCCTCCTCCTCTTTCTCCTGCTGCCTTCGCGGTGCCGTGATGCCTCGATGATGCCTCGGCGATTTGCTAATCGCGGGAAAAAAGAAGCCGCTCGGTGTGCCTTGCCACGCGGTATCCGGTTGCCCCTTGGCGCCTCCCCCTCCCCGCCGAGATATCGCGCGGCGATGGGAGTCTTGTCTCGATCCCGGGCCTCCGGAGAATGCGATTCGACTTTTCGCGAGATTTCTTTTTTCCTGTCTCTTTCTCTTTCTCTCTCTCTCTCTCTCTCTCTCTCTCTATCTCTCTCTCTTTCTCTCTCCGCGAGAGAACGGCATCCCGGCGGCGTGATCCGGCCCGAGCGACACGACGTCGAATTCGTGTCAATTCCGGGTAACGAGATATTCGAGAACGAAAGTCCACGAATCGCACGACGAAGGGAGACGCGGGCGAGTTCTCCACGAGCTCGATCTCGTATGAGCAGACATGCAATCGCGAGTCTTGACTGACTAATCCGGTCGCACTGCGTAGACACTCGTCGCGTTGTTGAACCCGGCGGGCTTTATGTTCTCACGATTGCAGCATTCCGACCGAAACTTCGCTGGAACTCGCGTTTCGAGGGCGAGAGCGAGAGAGAGAGAGAGAGAGAGAGAGAGAGAGAGAGAGAAAGGAAGGGGTGGGGAGGCAGAGAAAAAGAGACGGAGAAGCACGGGAGGATTAATTATGGGCGTTCGTTGCGCTCGAAGGAAAGTTTCAGCTCACGAGGGGAAACAAGAACGGTGGAACGGTTAATGATGTGTAGACAATTAATGAGATACCCCCTCCCTCCCCGAAAGATTCGCATTCCGCCTGCGAGCCCCCCTATGCTTCATGCGTGCGCTCGCTTCGTACGCGTCATTAATTAATATCGCCCGCTCACGATTGCGCAACGATGAATAACGCCCGGCCGATAATAATTAATCAATTATCGCCAATTCGCCAACTTGCCGCTCTGTTCTCTTAGTTCGCACGCGGTGCAGAAAGACGCGCGCCGATCGCGCGTGGAATTTTACGATTCCGAGATCGATCGACGTCGCTGACATTTATTGAACACGAAGAAACTTGCCGACGAACGCGGCGACGTCCGCGTGCGATTATTTATCAATCCGACCGACGCAACGGAGCGCTCTCGCTGAGCAACACTCGATGCTCGCCGGACGACCGAGACATAAATCGCGGCTCGCGGCCGATTAATTGGGCCATTTGTCGCGATTATCGCGACACACGTGAATGAACGCGCGCGAATCCGACTCGCCGGGCGTGCGGGCAAACGATAATTACGCTTCGATAATTACACGCTGCGCGACACGGCAGCGAAGAAAGAAGAAAGGAGGAGAAAGAGAGAAAGAAGGAGAGGAAAAAGGAAGAGAAAAGGCGCGTTCTTGGCCCGGCGCGGCGCGAAACCTGCTCGACGAACTTTATTTATTTGCGCGCGCGCGCGCGTCGTCGATTATGCAGTCGGCGTTGGGATTGATGTCGCTCCTCGGAGCGCTTTCGCGGTCTTATTTTCGTTCGTTCCCGATGCACGTGCCTCGGAAATAGTTGAACCAGTTGCGCGCGTTCAGCTCTCGACAGGTGCTGCGGGGCAGCCATACGCGACCGACCACCTTGCCCGGGCAAGGCAAGGTTGCACCGAAATGGCTAAAAACGGCTAGAAACCGGTGAAGCCACGCCGCGCTCTGGAGAGACCCGATCAGCTGGCCGTCGCTAGTCGGCTCCGTCGCTCGCGCGGAATGTCGAAGTTCAATCAGCGCGAGAGACTCCGCTCGCCCGCCCGCAATTTCGGCCTATTTCGAGAGCGCGCGGCCCGAGACTCATCGGCGGCGCTCTCGTTCCCGTTTGCGACACCGGTCGTTACGTTATACCGTAACGACGCGGCCTCACCGGCCGCGGGACTGGAATCGCGCGAGAACTCGCGTTATTGTTCGAACGAGTAAAAGTCGGCGGCGATCGCGAGTTTTACGTGCACGGAATTCTCTGCCCCTCCTCCACCCGCGCGCGCTTTGTGTCCGCTCCCGCAATCAATGGCTCCCGCTCTCTCTTTCTCTTTCTCTCTTTCTTTCGCAGCCGCTCGCCCATTTCGCGATCTGACAGAAGGAGAGAGAGAGAGAGAGAGATAGCATTGTTTATCGTCGTCTCAACATCGTTATCGCGAAGCATCGAGTGATGATGCCTGAAGTGCGCAATCGGCGCGGCGTGTCAGGTTCGCGCCGAAGCGGCGCCGCCGAAAAGCCACGGTCGACGCAACGGCGACGCAACACCGCAGGGTAACACGGTGGCGGCAGCGGCAGCGGCGGCGGAGGCGGAGGCGGAGGCGGAGGTGGCGGTGGCGGTGGTACAACCGCCGGTACAACGACCGGAAGCAGGTGGTTCCAGCCACGCACCGCCGGCTTCCCCGTCGTTCGCGTTCCGCAGCGCGAACCGCGGTTCCCCCGCGCACACGCACGCACACACACACACACACACACACACAGAAGCACGCGGCACGTACAATATGTGCATATGCACGCATGTGCGTTTACATGGCCGCGGAGAAACGAACGAGGCTACCACGTTCGAGCAGAGAACCACGCCGCGCGACTAAGACTGCAAAAACGCGAGCGTCTTCGAGCGGAGATTATTTATCGGCCGGAGCGCGTCGTCATGCGGGCGTCCTTTCCGTTTATCCTTAAAAAACGCGGACGATATAAATGTGGGGTATAATGAATGATTTCGATGCGGGGCCGGCTGTCCGATCGACATTGCTCCGCTTTTGCCGGGAGAAATGTAAATGATATGAAAGCGGGAGGAAATGTAGGGGAAATGTAGTGTGAATGTGAGGAACGATCTCGAATGATCCTGATCATCATCCGCGATCGACATCAGCGCGGATTACGACTGGAGATATCCGTTAGTTGCCAGTGGAGCGTGCATTTTTCAACCGCCGTCCGAGAGAGATGTTGTGTCCCGACGCGTCTCTGCACTTCTTTCTCCGTCTCTCCCGTTCTCCGCCCCTCGTCCGGAATGCTCTTTCTCTTTCTCTCTCTCTCTCTCTCTCTCTCTCTCTCTCTCTCTCTCTCTCTCTCGAATGACTGATTTTCTTCCTCCTCCGCCTGGTCTTTTTCCTACCTCTTCTTGTCGGGAGCGACGAACGTCGCTCGAGCACTACTTTCTTCCGCTTGGAATTGCTCTCGCCACTATCCGCGACGGCGCGGCGCGACGATCCCGACCGATGCCTCGTGTCCATCGGCGCGACTTTCATCTCGTTTACATACACGTTGTTGCGATATTTAATAACGGAATTTCTCCGTGCGCGCGCGCGCGCGCGCGCGCGTCTGCTCTTCCTCATGCGGGATCGGCGCGGCGTTAATTAAGAGCGTAAACGTCGATCGGCGGGAGAAGATACGGCGGCGGCGGCAGTTTTCTCTCCTTGCGACACGTTTCCGCTGCCGACGTTGTGTCGTCTCCGGTCGCACGATAAATCGCGGAACGAGTGTAAGAATGAGAAACTCGGAGGCGGCCGGGGCGGACGGAGAGTCCTTCGCGTGTTAAAGAACTCTGCCTCTCCGCCCTCCCTTTCTCTCTCTTTTTCTCTCTCTCTCTCTCTCTCCCTTTCTCTCTGCCTCTTGCCCCTTCGGAGCCGTGAGAAACAGACGCGATTGTCGCCGCGAGCAGGAAACAATCGGTCCCAGGTAGCACAGCCGGCACCGTCGTCTTCGTTAATCGGCGGGAGAGTGAAATTCGTGCGAAGCTGCTGGCGCCGCTCTCGGGGTCTTTCGCCGAGCGAGAGAGCGGCCCGGTTGTTTCGTGATCCCGGATGGCGAAACAAAGTTGCGCCTAAATAACCGGGGAGGCCGAGATCCGAAAATCGAGTCACGAGAATATATGCACAAGGACGATACGAGGCAAATCGCGCATTTTAGATGCAAGGACCGACTTGTGCGTCATTTGCCAAGACCTCGCGGCGCGCCCAATTCGGCTCCGCTGTCGGCTCGTATTTTCGCACTTGAATGAAGACCGAGAACCGACAGTCTGCGATCGAGCGTCACGTTTCTGCGATTAGATCCAAGATCGCGAGACGCGACTCAAGCAGCGGCGATAATCTCGACGACGATCTCACGCGGTCGGTGGTCTCCCGCCGAGCCTTCCTCGTCCGCCTCGCTTCTCGGCGAGAATATTCGGCGAGAATCCCGCGGACGACGATTGTTCTTTATCGCCGCGACCGATTTACCGTTACAATCGTTATTTCGCTCGATCGTTCGTTTCGCACGCCCGTCACCAGCGGAATCGCTCTGTTTGCGCGCGAGCGCCGCAACATTGGAAGCGCAGCGGCGCGAGCCGCGACGAAAAACGGGCCGGCTTTTCGGCGACAGGCATAACGCGTCTTTTTAAGGCGCTTCGGCGGGAATATAACGGTGATCGGAGCGGCACCTTCGAGTGCAGACATCCGATAAAATTAAGAGCCCACGCGAACGAAACGCTCTCGCGCGCAATTTCTTCCTAATTAAGGCCGCGCTCACGTACGTACGATCGAAACGAGTTATAAAGCGCCGAATTTACAACGTCCCTCGCGAGGGCGGGCGGTTTCTCGCCGCTGTGCGGCGACGTTAACAGCTACTTATTAATCGCGAGTGTTCTTACAAGTGTAATAAAAGCGGGGAAAAGCCGGGACGCGCGCGGCTCTCTTCCTCCTCCTTCTCCTCCTCCTCCTCCTCCTCCTCCTGCGGCTGACGAGGCGGGGATCGGATTAATGTAATTTTAACCGTCCGGCTGAAGTCATTTCTCGATGCTCCAACAAGAGAAACCGCCCGCATTAATTCCGGCATCGCGCGGCGGCCGGCCGGCCGGCCGGCCGGACGAGGCGGCAGAACGTATACTCGTGTATGTTTCGCGGCGCGGGAAACGAG